ACAGAGAGAGAGAGAGAGAGAACCTTAGAGAGTGTGTTTGACTTTTATCCTATCTTCTGTGGTACCATTACATTATCCAATACATACATGTCTCCTGTCTATAGGAGAGATTGAGAAGCTCTGTGTGGTAATGCTAGAAGATGATGCCATTTATGAAGAAGAGGAGGAATTCAGATTACTGCTTGGAACACCAAAAAGCAACTCCATATTTGGTGCCTCTATTGGAGAGCAGAAAGAGATCTTGGTCAGGATAAAGGATGAAGAAGACAGTGAGTTTTTAAGTGTCTTTGTGTTCAAATACAGACATTTGAGCACGTGTTGCAACCTTATCAGTGGCCAGTACCAGATGGTTCAAACGAAAGTGCAAAAGGACCAGCCTGTAATACATAGTATTCCTATTTTAAATGCAAAAAAACCTGCAATGAACAATCATTGAATGACTTATCCAAAGGGGAAGTTTCCTCTGACCCTAGTAGTTAGACAATGGTTTATGCTTTCAAGCAAAATATTTAGAACTTCTTGTGTGCTTGTTTTTAATACTTGCCGTTACAACTCTGAATTCTATAGCAATCCTTATAAGTATGTAATCCCTTTATTGAATTCTGTTTGTCATGTGACATTTTGAAGCAATGAATTCCACACACACAAATATTGCATTTTATGAAGTATCTACTTCTGTTAGCTTTGAATTTTATCACCTCTTATTTCACTGAATGTCTCTGTTACCATATACTGAGACAGGGTGAATAATCTTCACTTGACCTTCTCCAGTATTATTCCAAAACTACTTGTTGTTTTGCATAATGGGATGTTGTACTAATAAGAGAGCTCCAAACAGGATCAAGTTGAAAGAACTGTAGATTTGTTGAGCTAGACTTTCAAAGCAAATTCCTAAACTTGCAGGGATAAGGAGAGAATTCTGTGGGATGGGGCGGAATCCTATTCCACTGTATGCACCCAGATACCAGTTTTTCAGCTATGTAAGTAGCCTTTTTGACACACACAAGCAATTTTCAGTTCTACTCCCTGCACAGATAATTCCTAAGCTTTGGCCTTTTGGTTAGAGCACAGGGGTTGTGTCTATACAAGATGCTATACTGCACATTAGACTAATCAAATGTGCAGTAAAGCAACACTATCTACATGCGCACAGTAGCTACTCTGCAGTAGATTTGTCTAATGTGCCTTTTTCTAGTATCTGTAGATACAGGTACTAGAACTTTAATGCACTGAAGCACATACGCAGACACTGACCAGGAGCAAATTGCTCCTAGTCAGCCTAGGCAGCAGAGGGCCACAGAGAGAGGGAAGAGCTGTCCCAGTTCAGCAGGATGCTGCCTTCCAGCTATGTGGAGATTGGGATGCATTTCACAGATCCATAGATTGTTAGGGGCTTGCAGACCATCGGGTCCAGCTCCCCCATTCTAGGCAGGAAGACAACTGGGGTCAAGTGACCCCAGCAAGTGACTGTCTAGTCTCCGCTTGGCTGCATCACCTCTGGAGGGAGTTTATTCCACAGTCTGGTCACCCTGACTGTGAAGGAGTTTTTCCTGGTATTAAGCCTGAAGTGGCCTTCCAGGCCTGGCAGGCGCACATTCAGATGTGTGCGGGGCCGCAGTTTAATGCGCCTGAATTTTCTGCATGTAATATTCAGGTGTATTAATTGCATGTGTAGACATGCCCTGTGTCTCCTAAAGTTGGTGAAATGCAAGTTCCAAGCCCCGCTGGGTTAGCAGTGCCTAGAACCTTGGTCTTTTGTTTCCTGGGTGAGTACCTACCCACTCAGCTGTGTATGATAAAACAGGGACAGGCCCTGTTGGTGCTGTCACTTCCTCCTTCTTTCACCATGGGTTTTTGCTAGACTTTATTCTGTGATTTACACTCACCCAAGTGTACACATGGGTGGAACCCCATATCTGCCAAGCTAGCGCATATCTAACTGAACCTGCACAGTAGCTATGTAGACACTTACCTGTCCATACTGCAAGGGCAAAAGAATTGCAGATTCCACTGAAGTGTGAAAAATGCCACTTACACAGGCAGAAAACTGCCATTGGGACACACAAAATGAAATAGGATTCTGCCTTGCTTTCCATCAAAGTAAGACACCTGTTTAGGTTTACCACCTCCTTTCATGACTAAGGAGCAAAATAAACAGCATTTGCAAATAACCACCTGGCTAACAACAGGTCATATCTCCTCTTAAAAATCTATCTTGAACTAAAACCACAGTAAGTTATTCTCTTTTTCTTTTTTTGAGAAGGATACAAAAAGACTTTTCAGAATAATTCCATTAGAATTTATTTTGGCTTAGTAAACATACCAGCAAATAAATCCTGGGAAATGTCCAGCTATTTCTTTTGTTAGATTTTTTAGCTTTGTTTTGGCCCACTTACCTCCATTGGAATGTCTTTTGAAAGTCCGTGTATTATATTTTACTGGATCCAGTGAGAGAGATTTTTCTCCCCACCCCCAATTTCTTTGCAGAACCAGTGATTAAGTTTTCTGAAATCAAATACAGCATTCAAGAGCCTCAGGAGCCTGGAGAGATTGTGGTTGTAAAGATCCCTGTTTTACGTTTGGGAGACAGCTCCAAAATATCAGCTGTAAGAATACACACTAAGGATGGGTCAGCCACTTCTGGAGAAGACTATAACCCAATGTCAGAAGGTAAGCATTTTCACTGAATGGTGGACTTTAGAATCATTAGCCCAGGCAGTGCTGTTGTGCATATGAATGAAGGATATGAATAACAGGATGTTGTTACAATAGAAAAATAGTGAGTGCTGTATTTTAAGCATCTCAATCATTGTTGCTCCTATGCTTGAAGATCCTTGGCTAATTATTTGTGAAAGAGAGGAATAGTATTCGGTGCCTGAATCCTATTGAAATTCAGCTGAAAATGGGCACCTAACTTTCTATGGCTACTTAAGTCCCTAAGACAGGAGCTTCTTGATAAGCAGAAGACCAGAGCTTCTTCAGGACTTCTTCGTAAGAATTTACATACAGTTTGGTCCAGCCATTGAATGGTCCCATTCTGGCAGCAGAGTTTTGGTTTTGAGCTCAGGCAGAAGCCCTTTTGGTTGGCAGAGGAGTGCTGGTATGATAAAACATTTAACCCTAATGGAGAAAAAGGGAGAAGATAGAGAAATTGTGTTCAAAGGCACTAGTCTTCTGTCTCATCAGCATTGAGATGATGTTGTCCTGTTTTTACTTATCTGGAGCTTTATCTCAGTGTGGAACCTTTGAGATGAAAAGGAAAGCAAGGAGTGTGGGTCTGTGGGGTGGGGGGAGCTCCTCCCCCACCTTGCCAATGCCCCCATAGACTTACCTGTGGGGAGGTAACAATTAGTGACATTTGGGCATGAGTCAGTTGTTACATGTGTTCACACATTAGTAGGTGCACATGCCTAGCATATGGGGCTTCTGCTCTCAGTTTTGTCCTGTAGATAATACTATAATATAAATAACAAATAACAATATTCTTAAACAGTATCAAGCACTAAAGTTGTCTGTAAAATACCTTCCTTCTCTTGAGTGTATGTTTAACTGTATAATTATCAATTTAATACAGCTTTTAATCTACTGGATATGCAGAAAAACAGTTATTGGGGCCATGCAAGTGGGCCATGGCATTTTTATAGCATGCTAGGTTGGGCCTCAGGGAGAAAAAGGTTGAGAACCCCTGGCCTACAGAGCTTTCCTTTATGTAAGCATTTCCTGTTAGCTTTAGGCAGGTCCACACTGGTCTCATTGACATCACACAGCTCCCTGCTCTGCATGCAGGTTTTTAGATCCTGTTCTGAGACCTGCATGTAGGTTTTAGACCCTGCTAGATGCTTTAACTCTCCCCCTGCATTGTACAGGGAGCCTAGACAGGTGGGGTTCTGCATTCCACTTCAGAAGCATATGCCCTAAAAGTGTTGGACTTTACCACTCCCCTGGTTTTTAGGCACCGTTTTTTGGATCTACGTCCAAAATGCATATATGCAAGGGGGCATCTACTCAAGGTCCCCCTACAAAAATGGAGTTAAAATGTCGTTCTCAAACACTTATAAAAATTCACTCCAGCATTTCATGTGTCCTTTGTCAGATAAAAATTAATAAGTTTGTACTTAGGCTTAGTTATTTAGTTTGCCCATTTTAATACTGCAGTCATTCTAAGCTGACTCAGGAAGAGCCAAACTGTTTTGTTCCAACAAGGTATGTTACTTGAGCAAACTGGATTTAGAAAAGAGGTTAACTTGTTTGTCTCTAAAACAGACATTGAATTCAAAGAAGGAGAAACTGAACATTTTGTTGAAGTTGAGGTCCTATATGATGGAGTGAGAGAAATGAGAGAAGCATTTACAGTGCACTTGAAACCTGATGAAAATATGATCGCTGAGATTCAGGTAAAGGTTGTGTTTACATTTGTTGTTGTTATGTAGGTGGTTATGTACTGATGTTATAATAAACTGATAGAGAATGTTAAGGGAGCTTGCACAGGTAAGAAGGGAAGGAGATTTGGTTACAAGGTGGAGGGAGGCTTGGGGCAGTGATGTAGGTCTCTTGTTCCATAACTCGGGGACCCCATCTTCTAGTACCCATCCCCTGAGCCCCAGTGTCCAAGGCTTACTTGTTGTGGCATGTCATATCTTTCCCACTTGGCTGGACATTGTACAGGGCACCCAACTTTGGAGACGTGTTGGGAGTGCTCCTGTGAAGAAGGACTTCTGTAGCCCAGGGCCTCATGATCAGGGCACATCTCCAAGAAGTGGGAGATGTTCAAATCCCTTCTAGGTGAGGGGACCAAGAATCTGGGTTTTCCAGGCCCTGAGCAGTTATTGAGCTGAAATGAAGGAGGTCTTCTCCCCTCTGTTTTGTGATGTACATGGCTTTATGTGACATCCAGGGGAAGTATAATCTAAAACATGTGTAAGTGGCTCAAAATGCCACTTGCATAACTAAATTAGCTGCATAAGTGCTATCTACTAATCTAAACGTATGGTTGGATTTGGTCCCTAATGTGGATTTAGATGGCTAAACTAGCCACCTGCTTTTAGCATCAATGAACAAGTAAGGCATTGCTTTCTCTTTACATTTTTTATCTGAATTATCTTTCCCTTCCTGAGTGTCCTGAGAGCTGATGTCACCCTGGGTATTCATTTTACCCTTCCCTACAGTTAACCAGTGAATAGACTTAATCAGAGAGGCTGAAAACTTGGGGAGCAAAGGGGTTAATATCAGAAGATACACTTTTAAGAAGTCATTGGAACAATGAGGGGAAACTAGAGAAAATTATATTTCATGAGTAAAATCAGAATAAATTTTAGCACTAGAAATTACAGCTGCAAGCACTCTTTTTTTTTTTTTTTTTTTTTTTTTAATATTTTCAGCTGTAGACAGTAACCTTTTAACTCTCACAATTCAGGTGAACAAAGCCATTGTGTACATTGAAGAAATGGACAGCATTGCAGATGTGACTTTTCCAGCTGTGCCCCAGCTTGTGTCGCTCTTGATATATGATGACACATCTAAAAGCAAAGAGAACCCACAGCCTCTAACAGGCTACCCTCTTGTGTGTGTGACGGTATGATCTCTCCCAAGCAATATCATTTGCTAATCCAGTGCTTTTGAGCCTCTCAGTATAACTGATTTGATTTGTATGCATTGATAACAGAAGGCACCCAATTTCTGTGTGCGGCTGTTAGACTTGAGTGAGCTAGGGTTCCTTACCCTGATCCATCTTTCTGTCTTTCTTTTTTCAGATAAAAGATTAGTGTGTGTCCAGAGCACATGCTTGTCTGGAATATTTTACAGCAATAGCTCCAAGATTGTAGCAAGGCTCTTGTACATGGTAGTGTTTTGAAGGAGTGCTAGAGAATGCCATGACATTCTTTTTTTTAAAAGGGCAACCCTAGGGGCAGAAAATTGAAATTAAAGTACCCTAACCATGTTCATATAGAACCAGACTTAAACCCCAAAATGAAGGACTGTAAGATCATTATCTAAATATTAGTATCCTTGTTTTAGGAACAGATATACAGAAAGGCTAAGATACAAGTTTTCAAATGTGTGTGCCTACGGTTAGGCATGTAAGACACTTAACTGTGTATCTGTTGAATTGGCATCTACATATAAGCAAAAATGATAACCATAAAGAAGTGAAACTATACTGCTAATGTTTTAATTACCATTAAAATGATATTTAATTGTTAGCATTCCTGGAGCAGACATGGGAAGCAGAGCATCTTGTTTATTTTGCATATCTGCCAACCGACAGGCATGTAATCCCAAGTATTCAGACTATGACAAGACTGGCTCTATCTGTGCTGCTGAAAACATCAATGACACCCTGACCCAGTACCGCTGGCTTGTCAGTGCTCCAAGTGGCAGCGACGGTGTCACCAGCCCCATGCGGGAAGTGGATTCCAACACGTTCTTTACCAACACCAAATCCATCTCCCTGGACTCCATTTACTTCCAAGCAGGATCAAGGGTGCAGTGTGCAGCACGTGCTGTGAATGCCAATGGTGATGTGGGCTTGGAATTGCTCAGTCCAATTTACACAGTGAACAGAGAAGATGGTAAGTGGTAACATGCTGACTGTGACACCTTGGAGTAGGGGAAGACAATGAAAGCTGCACTGCTTGCTGTTGATATAGGCCAGGTCCGAGTAGGCTTCAGTGTTGTATATAGTTTAGATTTATTTTGTGTAGAGAAAAAGCTTCTTTCTGAAAGAAAGCTGCATAAATTGCCACATTGACTTCGTAATTTTAATAGTTTATACCCATGACTCAGCTGTCATTGGCATAAGGAAGAGGTGGAGATGGCAATTATTTATTTGGCATCTTGTTCTAGTGAGGTAGCCAATGGGATCACTCCTAGACATGTGTCCTCTGCTTTTCACATTATAAACATGTGCCACAGAGATACATATTTCTGTTTTATATCATTCAAGACAAAACAGCTACTATCTATAAATGGAGAGGAGCAATACCTTTGAGCATGAAACCATTCAGAAACCTGCAGAACAGGCCAGAATTAAAGCATTGGCATAGACTAATAGACTAAAAGAGAAACCCACTGCAGAGTTTAAGTCCTGGCCTCACTGGTGCATGAAATTTCTAGCCTCATCTCAGGGTTTTCAATACAGTACCTGGGTTAGCAGAGATTTGCAGAAGTCAGCAAGCTAAGCAGGGAGCTGTTCAAACTAGACAGTAGACAATACTGTGGGTTTAGGCCCCATCCAGCGTTCCCTCTAAGCTGTGCTGAGGTGCAGGGATGCCTGGCCATGCAGCATGAGCATGCCTGTGTGGCCGCCCACACTGCACAGCTTAGAGGGAACGCTGGCCCCACCTCAGAGATAATGAACCACCTCACTCTGGGCCAGAAAGAAATGGAACCTACCCCCTCTCTGTTTCCTTGGTTGTGATTTCTCTCTGGGAATTATGTGTTTAAAACAAGTAAACTCTTTCTCACAGTAAACCAGATTGAAACACTCCATGATACTAGTGATTAGAGAGGAGAGAGACCTGTTTTATAACTTGGAGAAAAAGCTCAAACATGGATCTCCACATCCTGAGAAGGTGCCAAAACCCCCAGGCTGTTAGGAGTTCTCAGGCTCTAAGTCTCTCCTGGTTAATTTTTTCCACTTAGCAAAAATAACTAAATATTCAGTGGGTGTGAGATGCCAGGGGAGTACTGGGCATATGGGAGAGAAAGGTTCAAGTCCCTGCTTTGTACACAAGGCCTCAGAAAAGTCTCATCCTACAGTTAGGGATAAATGTACTCTCTGAGAACCTAGCAGATAAGGCCCTGCAGGCCAAGAGGCATTTTGACGATTCCCCTGGGGTTTATGAAAGGGCATCAGTTCCAAGTAACTTAACAGTGTTGAGACGTAGGTGGTTCTGCGCCTGCCCAGTGACAGGGGCTTTATTCATAGACAAGGTTAAGCAGCAGCTGAGTGAAGGTTTTGTGGATCTCAGGGGTGCCTGTATATATTTTATTTAGGCTCCTGGAATTGCTGTTAAGCACCTTTGTGAAGTTAGCCCTCCAGATCTATACCTGAGACCCAAGCTCCTAAAGGACTATATGCTTTGGACCTCAGGCTGCTGTAACCTAGTCTGGCTACAGACATGTCAGAATTGCCTTTAACTCATGTGACACAGTTTAACTGAGTCCTCAGGATTACTCCTTCTCCCCTCTCAGGTCTTTGTCAGCCTCGCATCCCAGGATCTGTTGGAGCAGAACCTTTCTCAGCCAAAATTCAGTACACGGGTCCAGAAGATCCTGATTACCCCAGTCTGATTAGATTAACAGTTACGATGCCGCATATGGATGGTAAGCATCATGAGGTCATACAAGCCTTTGAATGTTACATCTCCAGTAGTCACAGATACTTGGCAGTTGTGAGGTGTGTTCCCACCTTAAGAGAGTTTCTGGCAGAGAAGGACTTTTTTTTTTGGAAGAGACAATGCTGTACGCTTGTGGCCAGAGCAGCATTCATCCTTGTCCACACTTGAAGGTTGTTAAGGGTTTACCAAACACTGTTACAGCCACGTATGTTTTAATGTGGTTTGCATCTGAAATGAAAACCAGTATAAAATTCCTGTCACCAATATCCTGTTTTTTTTCTCCTTTACAGTGGTAATTCCAGTGACCACAGTAGAGTTACCCCTGGTTTATGCCAGGCTGACTGGGAAGCCCAGTGCTATAGACTTGACTTTGGAAAGAGCCATTTCAGAGCATGGATAGATGAGCAATGAAAGTGCTTTAAAAGTCTAGTATTTTACAGCCAATCTGCTGTAACTGTGTCATCTGCCTGGTTTATTCTTCTCCAAGTAGAAGCTAAACCATTGTAACTTTACTCCTGATTCTTTCAGGTTTAAAATTATACACCAGTTACAGTGAATCAGCTAATGCACACTTCTAAAAAACCCCTTCACACTGATGCCCCTGCCTCTTTAAAACAGTCTATTGTTGTATCTATCCATAGGACTGTGGGTAGTGTTCATGCGGTTCTGAAGGTGAAAGTGTTGTATTACTGTGTTAGTAAAAACCGTAATTGGAAGACACCAGCTTCCAACAGGGTAATTATCATCTTTCTAAAAGAACCAACTGTGATAAATGTTTGAAAAACCTAAGGAATGGTTAGATGTAAAAATTGCATAGCTATGAAAGAATACTGGGATGAGCTGTTACACTACAACTGTTATACCGATGTGATTCTGTAGTGATACGAGTATAACAAAACATCCCATCTGTGCTGCTTCATCCAGAACCAAAGTAACCACAGTTTAGCTCACTTATATTGCTGTAGAGTCATGCAGACATGAAAGACATGAAAGTTACAGCATGCTCATGCATGTTTCCCTTGCCTTTTGATCTTGCTGCAAATGTACTTTTTTCCATGCCCTCAATTGTTTTATCTAAAGCAGGGGGAAAATCTTGGACTACTTTACTTCTTATTTTTACAGAAAAGACACACACACAAACACACCCATGGAAGTCATTCTGTTTATTCATGTGGCAACTTCTCTTGGGCCGTCTACATTAAGAAGCTGGGTGTTCAGCAGTAATGTAGACGTTAGTACAGATGGGACAGAGAATTGTTTAATACTATTTTAGAAAGCATGTATGAGCTATACCCGTGCCTTCTGCAGCTATTGGAAATAGGCTTGCCTGATATATGTTCATGTGGAAGACTTCCCTAGCAGTATAGCAATAAGACATTTACTGAAAATGTTTTTTTGGCAGTAGCTTACTTCCCTAATACACACTAACCTAGAAGAAGGCACCATAGCATCATCTAGCTCCAACTCTACTCTGCCCAACTATGTTTAGCAGTTTTTCACTTCCTTAGTGAAGTCAAGGTTTCCATGTAGTTCTTTGTAACACTGCTACGCTGATGGTGACAGGGATAGGTATCTAGAAAATTGCTTTTAAAAATTGTATTTAACACTTTAATGTACTATATCTTTAACTCTATCAAACTAATGTTTTTCTCGAGCATAACATTTGCTCTCAGCAATGGGGTTTTTACTTTGGGGGGTATTGATGTAAGGGAAATAATGAATTACCAAAAAATATCCCTTAGGTGTAGTTTAATAGAAGATGCAGCTAGTGAAATAGGTGCAGCTAGTGAAATAAGTGCAGTTAATAAACAAAGCATACTTCACATACACCTGCCCCATGAAAAGACATCTGGAACCAAGTAGCAAATCCTTTATGCACACACTCTCTCTCCATACTCAGATATATCAAGTCTACGTATGACTTAGCTTCAGAATTTCTCTCTACAGTCGAAAGATGATTCTCATCCTACCAAGTTAATAGTGTCCACAAAAAAAGTAGGTTTTACTATGTGCTTAGAACATTTGAGCAGTCAGTCTTCTCAGTTCATGATAGTAAGTGGATGGGGTGCCTTATGTTTCAGGAATGCTGCCTGTTATTTCAACTCGTCCATTATCCAATTTCGAACTGACTCTCAGCCCTGATGGCACTCGAGTAGGCAACCATAAGTGTTCCAACCTGCTGGACTATGATGAGATCCCAACCAAACATGGCTTCCTGACAGAGAGCACCAAGAACCCTGACGTGATTGGAGAAACTTCACCGTATCAGTATAGCAACCTCCTGCGATCTGCCAAGACCTTGCGTTTCTACCGCAACCTCAACTTGGAAGCTTGTCTGTGGGAGTTTAACAGCTACTACGACATGTCAGAGCTGATGGCTGACTGTGGTGGCTCCATTGGCACAGATGGCCAGGTATGTATCAAAGCAGCAGCACTCACTTCTGGGCCTTAAGTTTTGAAAAACAAAAGACTAAATCCCATTTTATTTTACATGCTTGAGTTGTGCATGCACAGTCACAGTTTTCCCACTGAGCAGGCTCACTAGGATTGTGCTGTGGGCAGGCAGGTACACAGGGAAATAGGATTCCCTGAGTAGGCCTGTAAGGCTGGGTAAGCCCCAAAATTTTAGTCACTGTGAAACCATGACTTGCAGGGGAACAAGGAAGAACCTCCCAATTTTTGCCCAGTAGTCTGGTGGTTAGGACAGTTGCCCAATGGACAAAAGATCCAATATAGTGAAATAAGATGCAGTCCTATGCCTTAACCAAACCCTTCCTAATAAAATCCGTAAAGGTATTTTGTGCTGTCATGTTGATCATTTGCATTGATTGTCTGTAGCACAAATCTTCTAACATCTTCCAGAAGAGTTCAGAAACCCTAGAGCTTCTTCATATCACAGCAGTTCCTATACTTTTTGGACCAACCAAAAGCAATTTAAAAGCAATTTGGAAAATTGCCCAGTAAGTGCCCAGTCACTGTCAGTTCTCAACATTTCTCATAAGTCAGCATGCGCTTTGCACTGCTGACCCCACTTCAGCATGTCTGCAGTAATTATTTGCCTCACCACAAATCCCCTTTCTGTATTTCCTCTGAATTAATTTCAGAGTGAAAGAAGAGCAAAAAAGGCTGCTTGCCAATTGTGAGTTCCACAAGAGCACTACTCATTCCTGAGACAAGGTCTCTGGAACACGTCACACTTAAGGCCTAATCCCATTTTAAGTACTAACCTGGCCAAACATTCATTCAGTTAATGGTAGCATAAAACAGGGAATAAGCCACAAAGTTATCACACAAAAAATGTCCATCACCTGACCAAGTCTCCCAGCTGTGGGGACACCATGCACCCAGCTTGCCATGATCCCAAGGCACTCCCTGCGCTGGCAACATGGCACTGTTGGGATGTGTAGTTGTACATGTAGCATGGCAGAGGCATGATTGTTGGATCATGGCTCAGATCCCATTGTACCTTTAGTTGACCATTTGTCAGGGACCTTACCAGCAGTACTCCTTTAACTAGGAAGCCTGACAAATGCCCTAACAGGGAAGTGAATTGATATTAATATGTAATACAAGTACTGCTTTAAAACTTCAGGGGAAAATAGATGGCATAGAAACTGTTTGGTGAAACCTGCCGTTCATGAACTTGTGGTGACATTCGATTGCCATTTAGTAATCGCTGACAAATGTGCATTCTAGCAATAATTATAATAATGAATTTTAGCATTATTTAGCAATAATGGAATCTAAGATGCTACTGTAGATTCATAGATTGCAAGGCCGGAAGGGACCTTGGGGGATCATCAGGTCCAGCCCCCCCTGCACCAGGCAGGAAAGACAACTGGGAGTCAGGTGACCACCCAGTCTTCTCTTGGGGGAGGGTCTGTAGGGTAAGTGACAGCCGTCAAGAAGACTGCATGCTGGGGAAATAAAAAAAATTAAAAAAACTATTCAAAATATGGGGATCCATCTTCCTGAGATTATCAGCTCACAATCCCAGATGCTCTGTGTGAATTGTTAGACTGTCCAACCTAGGCACGCTCAGTTTGTGATGATCTGTGACTGGACAGGAAGGAACCTGATGCATGGAAATGTTCGAACTGTAAATAAACAGTTCAGAGGGACCAAACAGTTTGAGGGCCCTCAAACTGCGAAGTCGTTTGCGTGCTTATTTAGCACACAGCTATGAGCCCCTAAAAGTCTGTGTGGCCCTGCATGTCTGGGATTGACCACTTGGTTGATTTTGCTTTATGTATGGAGTCCTCCAATGTTGGGTACTTTGTTGAGATCAGAATAGTGGAAGGTAGCAAGTATATTTTATCTGTTCTGTCGTACCCACTACAGCCTCTGTATGGACCCATAAAAGAGAGAGAGAGAGAGAAACTCAAACTATAAAATTCGGACAGTATTTTCAAACAGCAGAGTTTAGAGGTGCTAAAATGTGAAGTTTTGGTTCAATCTATTGTACAGACAGGTGCCATTGGAAAACCTGGCTCTGGATCCAGGTACAGTTTTTGACCACCCCCAAAGTACATGGCTGTCCAGATCTGACCTGTAGATTAATCCAGCTCTAATTGTCACACAGCTTGCAAAGAATTATGAAAGGAGTGAAAGCAAAAGAACCAAAACAGTAATTGGTGCTAATTCTGAGAGAGCACTGGCTTTGTAGGTTTGAAAAAGATCTCCGGGGAATATGAGATTGGTAACATCAATTCAACACTGTAATGGATATTTCTCTAGACCCCTTTATTTCTTTACAATGTAGAACAACTCTCAGGGCAATGTCGGCTTGCCTTGCAGTTTGTCAGAACTAACATGAGTGCCTGTCTGATTTTAGTCAATGCCAGAACTCCAGTTCTTGTCATATGCCTCAGAATATATCCAAAATGAAGAACAGATGTGTAAGCCTGTCTAGTGAGGAGAGTGCAGCATCTAAACACAAGTGATGCATACAGTAAAAGAAAGACCTGTAAATGTGACTGACTGAAGATAGAGAATGAGGCTCTTTGTTACTGTTATAAAAGCCCACAGGCTCACTGCCACGCTTTTCTTCTACCTTCTTGGGGTTAGACATGAAAGTAGTAACCTTTTGCCCTGGTGTTTTTCAGGTGTTAAATCTGGTGCAGTCTTATGTCACACTGCGCGTGCCCCTCTATGTCTCCTACGTCTTTCACTCTCCTGTGGCGGTTGGTGGCTGGCAGCACTTTGACTTGCAGTCTGAACTACGACTCACCTTTGTGTATGATACTGCCATCCTGTGGAAAGACGGTATAGGCAGCCCCCCAGAATCGGCGCTGCAGGGTGAGGAAGCTTAAGCATCGGAGCTTTCCTTATAATTAAACATTATTTCGCCAGGATGCCTAGTCTTCAGTGCAGGAATCCTGGAGTAGCTAGCGTGAATAACTTAGGCTGCTTCCTGGCCTTAAAAATCACAGAGGAAGTACCAGCAAGGCTGATTCCTACTGTTAAAACGCCCAATGTTTTCTTTTTTAATTGTATGTGGTATTGACATTATTGTATAAAACCTTTCCCCCAAAGTATACACCTTTTAAGTCTACCAAACACTGAAGAAGAAAAAAAGAAGATATATGCTTTGGATGACAGACGTTTTGCCCCCACAGACCACCTGTGGATCCAGGGGCAAAGTATCTGATGGATTCATTTTTGCAAAGCAGTAAATCCGATGTGGATGCCCCTGTTAATGAGCACCCACTAACGAGTAATCTCACAGCACATGGGGCCAGTGAAGTTCTTGTGTTACAGTGTAAATCATTGTATATCTGTTGAAGTATAGTAGTCTGGGGATCTGAATGTAATGAGGGTGGAGGAGAGGGAATAGGTCACCCAGTGAGTGATGGAACTGTGCAGAATACTTCATGTTTCTAAATGCTTAAACTAGCCAAAGGACCTTTCTGTTGGAAGGCCGGTGAAAGAACAGTCCTTGGTAGACATGACAGATTTTCTTCTTTCTAGGATCTCTCTACCCAACCAGCATGAGAATCAATGATGAAGGGCGACTGGTTGTGAATTTCAAGACAGAAATTCGTTTCCGAGGACAGCTGGTAATTTCTCACCCAGGTAAGAACCTCATTCATCCTCCTGGGATGACATCTCTAGAAACATCAGTAGTGCTGCTTTTTCATGAGTGCCAATATTTTGTAATAACAAGCTTGTTTCAACAGAGTAAATGAAATGAACATCACTCTCTTCACGAGTGCTGGGTAATTCCTGGGTTTGCCTATTTCCTCAGCTGCTGTATGCTGATTGAGTCTGAGCCCTCTTGTATAAGGGGCTCATAACTTGCCATTTGCTTTTACAGGAACTTCATTGTCCTCAATGGTGATGTCTGCTGATCACCCTGGTCTCACGTTTACACTGAGTCTCCTGCGAAGCGAGCCAACTTTCCACCAGCCTGTTCAGCAGTGGACCTTTATTTCAGACTTTGCTGTGAGTGTATATGGGGAGTTGGATATGGGAGACAGAGGGCTTTCTAAGTGCTAGTCAACATTCACTCGTATTCAGGTGAAAGCTGTCTGTGCAGCAGTTTGCACTGGAAAACCAGTCAGAATCCATCTAGTTAGACTGAATCTAGTACATAACAATGACAGGGGTAATTTAGTTCTTTCCTTCTCAAAGCTGTTCAGACTGTTGATGTTCACTTCACACTTTCTTTTTACATAATGAATAATCATAACCCCTTCTGGGGTCCCTAGCTTGCATTACCTTCCATATACATTTGGTGGATAAGAAGCCCAGAAAGGGCAAGTGATTTGCCCAGATTAGAGCCTTGTTCAAGATGAGAGTTAATTGGTCCCATCTCCTTCTGAGCACACCAGAGAATACTGCTTGGACAGGTGTGAGGGTCACAGAAGCAAGTAGATAAGGCAGTGACTCTGACTCTGCAGTGCAGTGTGTGTGGGCAGATGCTGAGCCTACCTGGATTCCAGTGCAGAGCTGGAGCTCAGCATTGGATTGAATAAAGGAGGAACACTATGGAAAGAGGACAATTATGCTTTTGGTTATTTTCAGGCTGCTTGATATAGATAAGAAAATTAAATGGTTTTGAGGGAAAATAGCACTTGAAAGATAACTGCAGCATTACATTTGAATTCTTCCGTGTAAAATCTTCTGGCCACCCTTGGCTTGCAGGACTGTAGATTTGAAATTACCAAAAATAATGCATATTTGCCCAGAATAAACCTCCAAGTTCTCTGCAAGGTGAGTGGGCATTTCATAGAAGCAGAGTTACGGGGAGTTTCACTGCCTGGGTCGGAGGGTCATGCAATAGACCAGCTACAGAGCTTGGAATAAGACCAGGTCCTCTGCCCTGTTCTGTCCCTGTCCAATAGCCCATCACTGCATCCCTGAGAAAATAATTTATATCTAAAGTGCCCCAGTGTAGTCTGGATTCTACTAGCCTGTGAAGCAGGAAGGTAGCAAGGGGCACATCTACATGAGACGTTTACTGCAGAGCTGCCTAATTAGCGCAACAGTAAAGTTTCCATGCCTACGTGTACAGCCCTAGCAGGCCACAGTAAACTAATAAACTGTCGTAAGATAGTACTTGTACGTGTATTGCAAGTACTGTTCTACTATGGAGTTGTTTACTGTGCAGCAATGCACATGTAGATGCTGACAGGGCTGGCTGGGGCCTGAGGATGCTTCAGGGAGGGGCTGCCAGCTAGCCCCACACTGTGGCACCCTCATGGCTCAGTGTGGCACACTGTGGCACCCTTGGGGCTGCTCCAAACTGGCTCAGTGTGCTGCTGTTCCAGGCACACATTCAAATGCAGTGCCCAGGAGCAATAGACTCTGACACGATAAGTGCCAGAGTTTATTGCTTCACATTAATTGCACATGTAGACACATCCAGGGGGAGGACCCTTGTATTTTGAATCTATATCCTACATAGAGTGAAACATCTCTATTATAGACCTTCATGCCCATATCCTCCGAAAGTACCCAAATTTCATTGCTGGCATTTGAGCATCTAAACCTCTGGCCTTGGTAATGATGCTATATATGTTGAACTGCAGTGTTAGTTGTTCAGAGCCTGTAGAAATGTGCACTTTCTAATAGTGTGTTTATTTTGCCAGGTACGAGACTACTCTGGTACTTACACTGTGAAATTTCTCCCTTGTACTGCTGCACCCAACCAGGAATATACCCTTCCCATCATCTGTAACCCTCAGGAACCAATCACCTTCGAGTTAGATATTCGGTTCCAACAGGTATGGTATTGTTTTTTGTTCAGAGATGAGTATTCTTGGCACACAAGCAAGTGGGCATAAGCTGATTAGAAATCAATTCATGCAGGAAATTAGAAGGCGATTCACTTGGAGGACTGAGGTTCTGGAGGAGCTTTCTTATCAAAGTAGTAGAGGCAAAAGGAAAAAAACTACCCAGTTATGAGATGGAGCTTAATTAGCTAATAAGGGAGGTGGTCTAGACATGGTTGCCTGCAATACCAGGTGGCCTAATGACTTGGGAGGTTCTCTTCAGTCATCTTGTCCTTAATATTGAACTCCTAGTAGTTGGATAGCTGTAGAGCAGTGCTTATGGTGTGTGTTACACTGAGATCCAATGTAATTGAGAGCTCTTTTCAGTTGTTTATGTCATGGTTTATCATAGTCCAGGGCCCAACCCCTTCAGTGATATTTTGCACTAAGCAGCCCCTGAGAGCTGTTCAGGGAGACTAAAAAGTGCACAAACTGAAAATCAGAGGGTTGTTTCATAACCTGGAGCTCCACAATTCTGAATTTTGTCTAAAGCTGCGGCTAAACTTAATGTAATGGAATTAAACTGACAGGATCCTGTAGTGGTGCCATGAGAAATCAGGCCTATAGATGTGATTTACAATGGACATATGCTTGCTCAAATCATAGAATCCTGCTATGCTGGTGTCGATAAATGCAGTACTCCAGATGCGTCATCATGGGTGGAATAAGGCATATGTATATGGTAGCTTGAGCTAAAGGATTGTAGAACTGAGCATTGACTTTCTAACCATGGCCTGGACTCTCAAAATTCCTAAAATTAAGCTTTTGGAAGCCTTACTTAGGTACCTACAAAAGTGACCTGACTTTCAAAACCATTAAGCACCCAAGCAGCACATACTGATTTCAGTCAGGGCTGCAGGGCAGTCAGCACTTTTGAAAATCAGGCCACTCATTTTAGTTACCTTAAAACAAGTTTGGCATCTACTATGAAACACCCAGTTTGGAAGGTCTTTACCTATGTAAGCAGGACTCTGTTAGTTCAATACAGATTAATTAAATGGACAATTTCCATTTATGACTGTAAGGCTCCAAGAGAAATTTCCTGCTGGTTAGAGGAAACTCCAAGGGTTTCCTCTATCAGCCGCACAACCATATTGTGCACAAAGGAAGTTAAGCATCCATAGCAAGGAACAAGGTTTGGACATCAAGTAGAGGAGGTAAAATTGCTATGGGATCCAAGCTTTGAATAGTTGCCAGGTAAAAAACACATCCCTAAGCCTGTATCGCTAGGATTTGGGAGGTTTCCCTGCAATTTTTATTAATACATGGAGGAAACTGAACGACACAGAGACTGAGGAATGGTAGATGGAGCTTTCTGCCCTCAGAGCATGAGCTTGAATCTGAACAAAAACCATTTCTGACCGCAGACTGTTGTTTGGAGATGGGAAAGTGAGTCAGTGCCCTCAGCTGAGTTTCACTATGTGCGCTCACTCATACAAAGGATTCTTCCAGTTGCTTTTCCAGGTAGCACAGAGAAACTGGTCATGTGCTAATACCTGGGGAAACAGAAAATGTTAGTAGCCCAGGCCACGTCCCATTTCACACAACATTTTACAAACTCTGAACATTGATTGAAAGAAGGTCAATATACTGGTTTGCCTCTTTAATGGAGTGAGGAAAGTTGGAGATGCATTCTGTTCCTTTTAGCACAATGATTTCATGCATAAGATTGGTGTCAGAACTCATCCAGCTAGTGGTTTTATCTCTTATATAATAGGTCTGATACTGCACTCCCTGTATTCATTATATGTTAGGATTTGGGAAGTGCAGTGATTTACCCGATTAGCAGAATATGACTAAATCAGTGATGCTTGTAAAGCTGTAGGTAGATATCAAAGCAGCTTTGTGATGATTATTTTTAATTATTTCTGTCACAGGTCAGTGACCCAGTAGCTGCTGAGTTCAGTCTCAATACTCACATGTTCTTGCTGTCCAAGAAGGACCTCTGGATATCTGATGGTTCCATTGGATTTGGAGAAGGAACTGATGTGACTTTTACTGAAGGTAAAAATAGCCTGTACTCCATTGCTGTCCACATAATACTCCAGTGAGTGCTTATGTGAGTTCCAGAGAGTGGCTGCATTTGAGGCACTGTTTCCTCAGTGTTTCCTATTGGCTAACTTATGGAGATCCCTGCTTAGCATGACTACTATTCTTAGGAGCCTATTTACTTTGCCATAGCATAGTTAGCCAGAAGTCAGGCACTGCAGTGGTCACTGATGTAACTCTAGGATTTCGACCCAGTGATAGCCATCATCACCTTGATTTGCACCCAGTGTTACACACTCACATTTGGCACTCTAGGGGAATTCAGATAAGCCAACACTGAACCAAAAAACATTTTGTTCAGTTTTTTTTCTTACTTGTGCCCTAAGTTGGAAACCAAACCACTCTGTTGGATCAGTTTTTCACATTACTTGGCTATAACAGCTATCCAGTTGAATACACTTTCTATGTGAATGTGGGTTACACCCCACTAAGAAAGGGAAAAAGGATACTGTTACTGAAGGACTGCATAGTTAAAACCACAAGATCAACACTATCATCTAAATGAGTAAGGACCAAAGCCAGTAATAAAGACATTATGTTCCACTAATGCATGTCAACAGATGCTACTTTCACTGTTATTCTCTGAGCTGAGTGCTTAACTACAAAGCTGTAATAATCATACGGCATTTTTATTGTTTAAATAAACTATTTATTGTTCGTCTAATTGAAAACAAATTATTTCCTATGGTAGTCACATGGGTTGCATTTCCTTTATTAGGGTCTGAAATCTATGGCCGAGTGATGGTGGATCCTGTTCAGAATCTAGGAAACTCTTTCATCTGTAACATTGAAAAGGTGTTTCTGTGCACTGGGGCTGACGGGTACGTGCCCAAGTATAGTCCAGGTAATAAAGAATATGGATGCCTGGCTGACTCACCTTCTCTCCTGTACAGATTCAAGATCCTGGTATGTAAATTGTTTTTGTTCTTTTTTTCCCCCCTCTAGCAGGTTTTTAACGTCTAAATTACTGTAATCTGGAAACAGCGCATTTACTTTTCCTAGGATAAGGCTCAGCCTGAGACCCAGATGAAAACCTTTGGAAGCATGGAGTTTCAAGCTAAATTGGCAATTGACCACACAGATGCTCTTCCTTTAGTAAAGCAGCCTGGTTCTGATGGTTTCAGTCTCTCATCTGCTCCTCTTTTCCAGGTACATTCTCCAATAATTATATTGCAGCTTCACTTTTCTTGTAGCTGGGGAACAACATTATCTTATCACATCTCAGATGGAAACAGCTAAGTAACTAGAGCAGGGGTGGGCAAGATGCGGCCCGCCAGGCCATTCTGTCCAGCCCGGGGGGCCCCTAAAAAATTTAGAAAATTAATATTAATCGGGCCCTGGCTGCTTGTCATGCAGCCCTCGGTGGCTTGCCAAAACTCAGTAAGCGGCCCTCCGATCAAAATAATTGCCTGCCCCTGAACTATTGTCATCAGGAGCCCTGCTTTAGTTTCTTGTTACCATAGGAATTATTTACCTTATGCTTCTGGAATTTGTTCAGTGTCCTTGTGCTTTTGATTTATAATCAAAGGATTTTTTTTTTTTTTTTTTTTAAGGTGGCAGCAGGCCGAGAATGGTACATTCATACTATTTACATGGTTCAGTCAAGAGCGAATGCAAACAGAGCAATTGGCAAGAGAAGCCTAGAATACCACCATGTGTTGTCCCCTGGTAACAGAGAAAACAGCCTCGTGACCTCGAAGCGTAGTCGGAGAGCTAACCCAATTGCCCCTGGCCTGTCCCAAGACATTGGAGCAGATAAAAACAGGGGCACAAATATTCAGCATATAGCACTTGACCGTTCCAACAAAATCATCATCAACCAGAAAGATTTGTTCCCAGCAGGTGGGCAGTATCAGAGGCCAGTGCTGGAAATCACCAGTGAAGACTCTAAAAACAATATTGTGCCTGTTGCCGGAGGAGCAGCTGGGTTGCTGCTTCTGATCTCCACCATGATCTTTACAGTGTTTTTGTTGAAGCGAGAGAGACAACCGTCTGCTGGAAAAAGAAAGCCATCCATTATCTACTCCAGCAGCAATGAAACTGTGACCACAGGACACAGCAGCAGTGACAGCTCAGAAGTCTAGGGGCTCTCAGAGTGCATTATACAATTTCATCACAAACACAGACACTTAGCCCTGGCCAACTCCTTTGCACAGACACAGAACTGGCTGCTTTGGTTTTGCTGTTAGTCTTGTTACTTGCTTCTGAATATAGCCAAGAAGGTGTGTGCGCATGAGGGTGCATGTGTTAGGTTCAAGTGTGAGCGACTTGCTTATAGAGGTCAAAACTGTTTTCCAGAATGAGTTGACACTTGTTTAAACTGCCATTTTCTTTTTTCAAAACAAAAAAGAAGAGAAAAAAAAAGAAAAAGCTTTTAAGAACCAGATTGTGCAGTTAAAAATGTGCCTTATACCCACAACAGAAGCCTGGTGCTCTTCAAAGGGATGTTGGTTTTAGTTACTTGTACAGTATGTAGACGTCATAGTTTTTGTAAGATGAGAACTAAGAAATACTGGATTTTGACTCCTTTGGAATGAAGCAGGTTCATTGGTTAGTAGTTTCTAACAGGAGACATCAGTGCCCAACAAGCACAGATCTTCCCCTTTAACAGCCGTAAGACTCAGATCAGAATGACTAGGTTCTGATATGCTACAATTAACTACAATAATTTTATTCTGTGTGTACATAATGAATAGGCCATAGTTTCCAATCTGGTGTGCGTACCACCAGTGGCATGCAGACAGCCTGTCAGTGGTACACGTAAACAAGCTTATTATAATTACTTTATACGACAAAAATGTGCTGGTGGTACTTAAGGTTGTATTGTTTTAAAATGGGTGGTGCGCAATCTGTCCGAGTTTGAGAACCGCTGGAATAGGGATTAGAAGCGTACGCTGACTCCATTGAAAAACAGTGACTGAAGGCATGCTGACACAGATTAGGGTGGCTCTTGAGAGAGTTCTCAATTGGACTCAGCTCCCCTGTTTCCCAGAGCCATCCCCAAATCGTGCCATGCTCAACAATCAAGCAGTGATTCCTCAAGATTCCTTTGGCAAAGCCCATCTAAGAACTGCAGAAAATCCAAAGACAGAAACAGGGACTTGTAGGACCGCTACTGGCCAAGAGCATGGCATTCACCATGCAGGTAAGCTCCAAACACATTGGGGAAAGGAGAGGTTCAAGATGCAACTGGGAGTGGGGCTTATACTCAAGATAGCAGTGTGTATAGGCCTGAAGTAGATATATTGGGAACCCTCCCCAGCGTAGGCAAGCCCATACTTAACAGTGAAATCCCACATGACAACTGATAAAGGTGGGTACTCACCACACACAAATTGCTTCATAACAATTCTCTATTTCAGGGCATCCTTTCTTTGTTGTAGTTAATGGGTCAGTGGATCACTTGTTTCTTCAAACAACTCCCTGGTGAGGGTCCTGGGGTTGTGCCATTATAGGTGGTGTTCACTTTCTGCAAACAAACTTCACTCAACAACAATAAAGATTTTAAACCCCTGGGTAGATACAGGTCACTCATCTCATCAAAATATGTCGCTTGTGGAAACTACGTGGGAGGCAGTGGCAGGGAAGGACAGAACCCCACCATTGTTAGAGCCTTGACACAGAGGCAGTTAAGTAAGACAGAAAAGGCCACAACCTAAACTTCACTATGGCAATAGAAAATAATACTGGTGTCCTCCAGAAAGCAGAAAAGTTCTTTAATTTGCTTCCCTTGGAGATCTCCATTATGAGCTTGTATTCTAATGGTAAAAACAAGAGGCAGCAACCTGTTTCTAGTCACTGCTCAACTATTCTATGAATTTTTTCAAGCTGCTTATAAATATTGAATAGTTTACAAATTATGTGAGGAAACCACAGACAAACTTTTTTGCAGTATGCTAATGGACTGTTCAGAAAAGTGTCAAATCAATTATTCACTCAATTCTTTTGCTAAATGTAAGCCTGTATTAATACTGCGTGAATTCTATTTCCAGCAGTTTTCATTGCAGGCAAATCAATTTTAAGGCTTGGGGAAGATAATTGGCTTTAAAAATCAGTAAGATCAGTAACTGCTGTAGTACCTGGTGCAAGAGACCATTTAAACCATAATTGTACTTAAAAGGTATATTTGAAAGCCATTTTTCTTATATGGCTAACAAGGTGCTACAGCACTCAGAGAGCTATTTAGACTGCTGTTACAGATTTGATACTAGTCTTGCATTAACTTTCTAAAAACAGGCAAAAGGATTTGTGTTATGTGAACAAAGAGTATTATAAATGTATGCTCCCCAGTTAAAGCATGGTTAACCCATTGATAGTCATCTGGAAGCAAGTTATATACAAAGGGCACAGACCATGCTTGTATGAACCCAGTAAGTGTTGCCCTACTGTACAATTGCCAGGATATAGTGTAATAACTCCTTTTGTAGAGACCTTATACAGTGCCCTGTTTTGTTTGTTTGAGTCTTAGGCCACACTCAGTTGCCTTTACAGGGCACTAAGGAGATTTAAAAAAGGTGAATTTAATGCATGATGAAAGACCAGTGTATAGTGCAATGATGCCTCACTCAAACTGAGATGTTCCGGTTTGTGGTGTTAATTTGCATCTCTTTCAGGACACACGCTGACTCTCACGCTTTGGGAAATGCCTGAGATAGTTTATATCCCGTTCATGTAACAGAGACTGAGTGAGCTTGCAATGGGGCAGCTCTGTCCCATCGCAATTCTAGTGCTTAGGGCTTACTCTACAGTTGAGCAGAGGGGCTTACCCCCAAATACTTGAACTCAGTCTAACACAGAAGTCACAGGGCAGTCCAAACTAATTTAAAAATGCAAGTACATTGTTAAAATGTCAGACCGCAGGATAGGTCTTAGCACATCCCAACAGGTGCTAATAAAGTTTACAATGCTCCCACTGTGCGTGACTGACAGCATTCATTTCAGTGACAAAGAGCACACAGAAATGTTCCCACATTTTCTTGCATATCTCATGCACCTGGATTTTGAAGGGGAGCCTGAAGAAACTCCCCAAAATGATCTTCAGTTGAAGTGAGTGGTAGCAGCGAGGGAGCCAAGCTTGCTGCCAGCCCCACATGATACAGGGGGCCCGTGGGCTGAGCCAGTGCACCAGGTCCTGAGCAGTGTGCCACACCTGGGACTGCACCCTGGCTCTGGAGCCAGAGCCCATGGCTGTATTGGCCTGATCCAGTGCACAGCTGGGGACGGGAACCCCATAGGCCAGAAGATCTGGTGGTGGGGCAGGAGAAGGAGGGAGCAACAGTAGCAGCTCCTTGAGCCACAGCAGTTGGCTTCCACCTCTTCCTCCCCAACCCCTAATTTCTAGACCTGTAGGGATCCCTTTTCCCTGCACATAATGCACACTCCAAATTTTCCCCAGCTGACAGGGGCAGGGGAGGTGCAGGTTATGAGCAATTAACCTTAAGTTCTTTTTCTGTAGGATGAGACCTATAAGCTAAAGAAATTTGATTAACTGCTGATACTTGAATCAAGCACTAACTACAGTTACATTTGCAATGATCCATTTTATCAATTCACTCAAAAGTCCTCTGGCTTACTGGAATCATTCTCATACTCTGATCCATGAAATAGCAGCATTTAAATGATGGCCTGTAGGTAGGAAGGTCAAGAAGCCTAGAAACAAGGCAAAAACAACCCAGTCTAAAAAGGACACCACACAGAATATACCTAAAAAACATCCTAATATTCTCCAAGCAGTCCTGACTGCAAAATATGCTTATAGGAACTAGAACAAGTTGGGGAGAAAGGTGGCCTAGAAGCCCTCTTATTACAATGTAAACAGCATGTAAATTACAGGATTCTCAAGCATTCAAACACACTCCAGTGGAGCTGTTAAAAAAAAGTCTAAGCCTTGTATTAATAAATGAAGCCTATTTTATTACTTCAAGTGTTAATGGTAAAAAAAATTCAGCACAGCTGTTGCATTTAAAAAAGTGAAACTACAATAAGTACTATGTTTCTAGTTCAGTAAACAGATGAACCCGATGTCCTTTAATGACATAATAGTTGAGCATTGTACAGTACATCTTATGAAGACCCGTAAATTAAAGAACTACTTTTTAAATTTAGTGATTATAAAAATTCAGCATTCACAGCTTTAGCTTCTTTTTCCTTCCACGACCATCAGGAGTACCATCCATTTTACGCTTCTGTGCCTGAAAGACAATTTTTATATAAAAATTAGTAATTTTTTTGTAAAGAATTAATATCCTCGTAACATGGGAGATTAAAACAGATTATGAGAACCCAATATTTAAACAATATTTTTAAATGGGTTCAGATTAACTGGCTAGAACAGGAGTTCAAAACTAATAATAATCAACCCTTGTCTTTCAAAACATGCCTGTGCCAGCCTGAATTGTAGTTCACATTTAAAAAAAAAACACAATCCTGTTCGAACACTCTGCTCAAATTAACACACACCCAAATGTTTCCTATGAAGAAGTGTGTAAATGTTCTGTCAGTTACTTGCAACAAACAACCACCATTTCTGGATTTTAGAAAATCAATGTAAAAAAAAAAGTTTACTGGGATTTAGATTATCTAAGGCACCCAAAATTGATAGTCATTTTACATCAGTTATTCATCTGTTACATCCTTCCTGTATTCTGTCACTTCCTTCTAGGAGATGCAGGAAGTGAAATACAGCAGGCACCGTGCCCATCCTACCCATACTGCCAGTGAATTGGGTTTGACAAGTTGATACGTTGTTGAGGGAGAAAGTGTGAACGGGAAGCAGAAGATACGAAAAGAAACAAATCTGAGTTCTGTAAAGCCACTTGCCTTTACATCTATATCTAGATACATACATATGCACATATACAACACACACACATTCCCATTCCACAAGTGCTTCTCCTTTGACCATGTACAATATTATGTTATGCCATCATTAAACTGCCAGGTGGAGAAGGCAGCTTATAGTTGGGGTGCATCAATGTTCTGTTAAACTGCACCCTGAATTTACCAATAACTTTAACGTGTTAGTCAAAATTAGTTAAACCATACGGTTGTCCAATTATGCTAGATATCTGCTGATAAGAGCTTTAGCAGGTTTTTTGCATAAGAAAAACACATCTGGATCCTAAATGTATACAGATGGCTTACTAAATTAATTTGGTAACAATGCAAACATGATTAACAAGCAAAGAACACCAATATAATATTTGCATTTATGAATAAATATACCCACAGAAATGGGGGCTCAGTCTGTTTGCCAGATAGCTATACTGATTCATGAGGCAAAGTCCAGAGTGAGATCTATTGCTACTCATGATGTTTTAAACAAAAAGGCTGAAAATTTTGGGCCCAAGTGCCTAAAATTAGGCTTCCAAAAGCTAAACAACTCTGATTTACTTTCCTAAAAGATAGGGTCTGAAAGCTGCAGTTAAGCACTTGATTTTGAAAACTACAGTTAAACTGGAAAATTAATAAGTGTAACACAGAAGCACATGGGACACAGAACAATGTTTTAGGTAGCACTTCTCAGACGGCCAACACATCACCCACTAACGTATTAGAACAGCAGAGATGTAGCCTGTGTAGGTTATCAAACCAGCTGAAAAGACATTTAGGATGCTAATGTTTGGAAAAAACCTCACCGAAGAGGGTTTTGGTCCACGTTTCTTCTTCTCTGCCTTCTCCTTTTCTTCCAGTTCCATGTTTTCTCTTTCAATCAAAGTGATTAAGGTATTGCATCGCCTTTGCAGCTCCTGATTATACACAACACATTAACTTGATTATTCAAAAAAAAAATCAACAGCATACCCATCTCCAAACAAGACTTTACATTACTTGGAGCCTGTGGGGTTTCTTAAAGGTTTATTTTTAAAAGTTCATAAACTTAGGGCAGCTATAATTACTGCTTATGACAAATTATTACATTGTAGAATGATTAAATACAGAAGTTTAGAAATTACTATTAAATCTCACCTCACTAAGACAAAAAGTATTAAGTTGTGAGTGAAACTCACAAAATAAGGTTTCACCATGGTCTAAAAAGCTTAATTAATTCCTAAATTATCCCTATTAGCTGGTTTAAAAATTAAACCCTAATGCCAGTTTTCAATTTAGGGCTATAAAAAGCAAGTTCCTATGATGCAAACTGCATCTATAATTAATCAGCCCTATATGAACTGCTGTAACTATATACATATATTAGTCACAAGTGTGCAGTAACTATTTTCTGAGCTCTAAACTCCAAATTGTCTTATGTTTAGTAAGATTTTTGCAAGAATTCCATATAGTAGACAAAAAGCATAAAACTGACATCAAACACACAAATTGTTAAATGTTGAAACTGCATGAAAATACACACACACCCCAATATGTATTGTATGCACACATGCACCTTGTATCTGCATATTGATGAGCAGTGCAACCGTGGGACAAATTAATTTATCATACCCCTTCAACTGCCTGCATGCCTTACATTCCCATCAGAACTTAAAACATTAAAAAAAGTACATTTAAGTGTCAACCTGCTAAGAAGAATGTCTTGCACTTGAACTTTATCCCAAACATATAGTTTGTCCAATAAAAGGTATCACCCACAAAAATCCTTGCCTCACAACCTGCTATGAAACCACTTCATCCTCAGTAGCATTTGTACAGATAGTTCTTAAAAATATTCAGGAACAAAACAGTATGCAGATGAGAATTTCTGATTCATCCAGGAATTAAATAGATCCAAATCAGCTCATACCATTGCAGTTCTGGACTTGAGGAACCAGTCAAATCTGAACTGGGGAGAGTTTCGAATACATTGTCTCAATTC